TGAACCTTTATCTCTTTTGTTAGCATTTTAGTGGCAAGCTTTTTATGCTTCCCCTACTACATAAAACTTGTATATTTCTCCCTATCCAATTGTCCATTATGAATAGACGGTTGAAATAAATCCATTCATAATGTCACATCTTTATATAGTTTTATTTTTAATTATTTTTTTATAAAATATTTTGATACTAAATTTTAGGCATCTACTCCTTTTTTAAAACCGGCACTTTTAAAAAATATAAAAAGTATTCTAAATAAAACAAAATGACCAAAATACCTTAAAAATTTTAGAAAGGTATTTTGATCATTATATTTTATCAAAAATTTTCAAAGGGTATTTTGAACACTTGCCTTCCCCTCCCACGTCTAAATTCTCCCGATGATGGAACTGTGAGTTTGGTTACCAAAAAATCTCCTCGACATTGGCATTCTCAGGAAGTTTCCCACACGTTTGACATTCGTTTGTTCACAACTTGGAGTAGTTCAGAAGCAGGGATCAGTCCTCATGAACCACCGATAAAGGAGCCACCTGTTCCTCTTCCACCCTGGTCACAAGCGCAAGGTCATCCCTTTGCAATGACACTTGGTCAGCCAACAAAAGATCTTCCGGCACCATTTCTTCTGCAACTGCAAAGGGCTTAGCCTCATCTTCAACCACCACCATCGCCAACATATCGACGGTTAGTGGGTCGAAGTGCGTCCATTGGGAAACCTTGTTCTTCCTCGCCGTTCGCTGAAACCAAAGGGGATACATGATTACCAGGATCGCAAGCACCACTTTGCACCGACCTGAGCCTAAAATCTTCTAGTAATTTTGCCAAAGCCTCAACCGGGTGAGTAGCATCTTTGTTGCAGCCAAAGAAGAAATGTACTGGTTCAGCATCCACCACCTTTAGGATGTACATAGGAGGAAGTGCGCCAGGTTTTTCGAAACATCTACCGGTAGCCCGTGTGTATCCTCTACTTGAAAACGCAGTCCCCCAAGTCTGCACTGGAACTTCCTTGTGTCGAGGAGAAACTTCCTTTTTCCCATTATCAAAAGAAATATTCTTCAGTGATCCCTCACTCGATCCTTTTGGTCTCACAGAGCAATTTGAAACGTCCTCCTTAGAAACCGGCGAGCAATTGGAAAAACGGCCTACGGGAATCCAACTTTTGCAAATATTCAAATTTTTAAAATTATGTAACTCCTGATTCTCCCGCCTATGATATCGGAAATTTTCATTATGCTGAATACCGGAATTTCAAATTTCCGGAGATGTTCATCGGCGCCGTTTTACCGCTTGCCAACCATCGGCATCCCCTTTATCAGAGTTGATGTGCTGCGGCTCCACTGGAGTACGATTCATATCCTTGATTTCCATCACTATTGATAAAGAAAAACATTCCTGGCCCACCCTTAGAGTGAAAGACTTAGGAATGGAGGGCCCATCCAATATCCAGATCCGAATTCTAACTTAACGCAGTCGACCCCTTTAAAGGCTGATTTATCAATATCACATGACTCCCTACATTTGTTAGCAATCTTACAAAAGTGCACAAAGACCAAGCGTGTAGGAGAACACCTGTAACTCTGATCCACAAGCTCTACTTTCGCCCATAAGAGATATGAGAATCTGGTCTCCAAAGATCAAGGGAAAGGGGCTTACCCGTTATGCGCACAATACGATTCGTTTACGCAGACAGAGAGTCCTCCTTATAGCACAGAAGAAAAACAATCTTACTCTCCCCCATTAGTTGAACTTTTGGGAAGTACGACAATCTCCAAGATCTTCTGGCCCACTCAGAGAGGCCAAAAATGTCGTTTGAAGGGGGAGAGAAAGATCCAACCACTGCAAACCTAACCCCAGACAGAATACCTCTCGACTCGAATCCAATTGAAACCATGTCTGCCCCTTCCCCATCATCAGCTTCCCCACCGGTTTCACCAAGCCCCTCCTCCATCATCTCCATTTCACATGAAATCTCTCTCTCTCTCTCCCTCAATTTCACCACATAAGTATGCAACCTTCAAATAATTGTCACCCAAATTCACATCTAATAGTCAAAATTAATGAACCAACATGTATCAAAGGTAAATGATTTCATCATGTAGTTTCCCTTTCCAAACATTCCTTCCATTAATTTTTTCCAAGGGAGTAGATAGAATATACCATGCGGGAGTATGAAATCTTTTGTCTTTAATTTAAAACCATAGAACTTGCCTCTCGAAGTGCAACCATTGGTTTTCTTCACAAGGAGTGGTTGTTAAAACATTTTATATAATTTTATTTTTAATATATAAATATACAAATGTATCTTGCCGTATTGGCTTTTTTAGATGAAATACTAGACACTCTGAGTACGGTTAGACACTTGTACTCTATATAACAACGCACAATGTCGGTGTCTAAGTAATAATGTCTAAAGGGAAAAGTTTATACGAGGTTGCAATCTTAAAATGTAGAATCACATATACACCTCAAAATTCTATGGAAAAGGTTGTTATAATGTTGAAAAACCCTCTAATTGATCATCTCGACATCGAGATATATGAATATTAAAAATATATATTTTTTAGCCTAAAAAATAATGCATCTTGCAATACATCATCTAGACAGTCCATTTTCAAGATTTTCATATGTTTGTAGATCTACTTGATTTTAACCATTTTTAAAATCCAAAATTTTTTCATTAGACATGAAAATAGTTTTTAAAATAATCCTAAAAACATTTTACAACAAAATTACATGTTATGATAAAATTTGGAGGTGCGCCTTAATTAAATTGTTTAAGGTTGCAACCTTATAGAAACCGCACCATGTTTAAATGTTCAAAAAAAAAAACTATTACTTGCCTTGGTTGAACCAGATTAGTAGGCTAGGGCATTCTAGGCCAGAAAACCATGGAATCGGCAGAGTCTCAATTTTTTTTTTTTTCCTTTATTAATCTTTGAAATTTCCCCGATTTTCAAGTTGGAGGGGGACTTGGGCTGATGCCCCTGGCGAGTCTTTGCCCTAGTCTAAAATACACAAGGGTTAAAATTGTACGTTTGGTTCAAAGTCTTTCATGGACTTGAACCTCTCACCTATAATCCAATATGATTTTGACCCCCTAAATATTTAATACTTGCTTATAAAGGCAATATCTATCCAAATAACCTTTCAATTAGAGGTGGTAATGGACTCGACCGGTAGTTCCCGACCTCAAGGACAAACAAGTATGAGTCCCATTTGACCCGACAGATTGGGTCAGGGTCCAAAAGCCTGGACCCAAATACTATTTGTGTCCGAGTCTAACCGGACGCCACTGATACCCGTAAACTGTTGGAGATAAAATACTGTACTTTTAAGCCTTATTGGTTTAAGTGTATTAAGGATCATATACAATAAGAATTCATGGTCATCTTTAGCGATTAAACCACAAATTAGACGGATTAAAATCTAATGGCAAGCGATGGTGACCTTATTACCAATAATATGGGTATATGATAATAAAAGAAAGGGCAAAAAAAAAAACTCATAGTCATAGGGTGGCAATGGACCTAATGTGCAGACCAAGAATCTAATGGTTATGGGTATGGGTCCAATTTTTGGACCCGATAGGTCAAGTTTAGATCTAAAACCTGGACCCAAATGCTATTCAGGTCCAAGTCCAAGTCCAAGTCCAGGTCTGGGCCTTGGTCCATCCAAACCCGACCCATTGCCACCCCTACTTCCAATTGTCTAGCACATTTTAAGTTGGATGATTTTGATGGAGGCACATGATTTTTAGGTGTCCTAACTGAGCATTTTTATAAGGTGCACAATCACTACTAGTCTCTCACTCTAATCAAATACAACTTTGTGAAAGCATAAATTGATTTTCACTCTAATCAAATACAACTTTGTGAAAGCATAAATTGATTTTCACTCTAATCAAATACAACTTTGTGAAAGCATAAATTGATTTCCAATTATTTGAGATCGTGTTTCGCTGTTTTGCTATCCTGTTGTATCAAGCGCCATACTTTCAATTAGACTATACAACACCATATCCTTTCTCACCACTTCTATCCACGTCCTTTTGACCCTTCTCCTTCTATCCACGTCTTTTTGAACCTTCTCCGTTACTCATGCAGTCCATAAATAAGCATAAATTGATTTGGTCATGTTCATAATAGGTAAACTTGGTCGAGTGGGCTATATAAGAGTTTATAACTCTCAATAATTTCCACAAAAATTAGCTGCATTTCAAAACTCATCTAAAATACAAGGTTGGTTTGGGCCAAATTTTTTTGAAGTACAAGTGCTAGCTTACGCAAGTCTCCCAACGCCTTACAATCCTTTCATATAATTTAATTTTAGATGGATAGCGACACAATAACTGAACGGTTGACTCATATTCAACTTACAAAAAGAAATTTCTTGATTAGAATTTGTATTTATTTTAATTTCAAATATACAAGAAATTCTTCTATTTCTTCGAGAAACAGATAATTAAACTGTTTCTCTCAATACGTGAATAGCCGGGACAGTGAAAAATATCCAGAAAGGCATTTTGGGATTCTATCCAAACTCCAATTGGTCGATTTCTTGATTTTGAACATTTATAATTTTTTTCCGACTCATTTGTCTATTTCGTCCTCTATGAATTATGCATAGGCATGAATAAGCCTGCCTTCCAACTTCAAGAAGAGTTAAACTTCTAATTCGATTGATTTAGCTCCAAAGATAAGAACTTTCTATCGCATTCATTTCAGCATTCTATAGAAACATCACTACCAAGTAAGTGGAGTTCACATACATTTGTGTTTTTAGAGAACCCTCATCCCACATATCCTACTTATCCATGATAGTTTCTGAATCTTTATACCATTTTAAACTGTTTCTTTTGGCTCAGTACTTGTTAACTAAAGGCCAACAAGCATAATCTTGGTGAATACGTGTTTTTGAGGAGAAAATTTCAATAAGGGCTAAGGAGCACCACTGAGTTCGTTACGACGACCAAAAAAGTACTCTCAAAGAAAGAAAAAAAAAAAAATTTACGGCAATCAAATAATCATTTAGCATAATAACTTTGTTACTTGCTCAGGATGTGATATGACTTTCCAAACCCTCCTCAAAAAACTGCACACTTCAATCTCAAAGCATTGCCACAACCATGGGATCCCTATCCGACCTTGAGATGTGGACAGGGATTCATGCGATAATTTCGACAAACTAGAAAGGATCAAAAGGTTGTAGACCTTTCCTATATATTTTTCGGCAATCTTCCTACTTGATCATTCCCAAAACACAGAAAAAAAGTTACAAAAAGAACCTGAGTACCTTAATTGAGGGACCTTCATAACATATCCTCCACCTCCAAGACTCATTTCACGGGATTCTCAACAATTATTGCAAATGCCCTTGACATTCCAACCACGTGAGGCCCCACGACGTAGCGCACGCTTCCGCTTAGTCTTCAATGACTCGGACTCTGGTGCAAACCCATCGTCAGAAAGAGGAATTTCTGGGAGCCCCATTGCCGCAGTTTCTGATCCTCTCTCCTCTTTGTTCACCTGTTCTTCTTCCTTGATCTCCTCTTCCCGGACTTTCCCAAAGCCTGGCAAATCTTCCCCTAAAGCTGCCTGGTTTTCTATTAAAACTTCGTCAAGCATCTGCAACTAAAGAGAGAAAGAAACAGAAAAAGAGAATATGAGAACCATAAGACGGAGAAAAAAATAAGCAGGGAAAATGAAGCATAAAATTGGAAGCTATATGCCCAAATATCAATGGATGAAAATTACGATAGAGACTGGGAGTTCCACTTCCCATTTGAGCTTGCATTTTTCCAAACTGAATTTCCACCCAATTTTGGAAGAAATAGATTAAACATAATTGGCCGAAGATAGATTAAACATAATTGACCGAAGATTGGAAATTTTCTCTTCACTTTTTGCCCTCTCTCATAGAAAATGGGGAATGCCTAGGCTTACCTTCAGCCAACCTCATGGGAAATAAGGTTTAGCGTTTATACATTTTTCAAAATCATAAGAGTGTAATGGACTAAGAAAGCCAGTACTAATGAGCAATGGTAGATGGAGATGGCGACTGGCCCACCATTGTGTGACTTGTTCTGGTGGGTACCATCTCGTTCCATCACCATACACTCTCCTATGATTTTGGTTTTGCATGGTCCATTCATCGTAGGATATACCAGAAGTAAAATGCAACTACAAAATTGAAGTAACTTACATCTCCACAAGCATCTCCAATATGAGGTGGATCAAATGGGACATCAGCATCAGAATAAATGCCGAAGAGATCAGGTATCCCTGAGACCACATAACTTCTTGAGACCCCACTTCCCGAAATGCCCAAATCACCCCTACCAAAGTCCAAGATATCATGGCATGGATTATACAACCCAACGATAGGAGGATCTGAATCTCCATTAACTGGCGAGACTTGTGGGCTCTGAGCTGCGCTAGCCTGCCTATCAATTGAATTCTCCACTGAGGAGAACTTATCAGCATTCTTCAACTTCACCTTATTGAGCTGACCCTTGAGCTTGAGTATACGAGATTGCAGGCCCTCTAGGCTCCATAGTAATTGCTCCGGTGAGGTTTCCATACTCCCCATTTCGGATGCCACCCATGCATGACTAGCCCCAAAATCATCCACTCGAATATTCTTTTGCTCTTCATTGAGGACTACAATACAGTGAATTAGAATGTGTACAGAAATAAAAAGCAAGAGCATATCATATTTTTGTACTCGTAAGAAAGCATATTTTTCAAATCATCTAAGAGACGAGTGCGTTTTTTGTGTCGACTTTCAATGGTGAACTTTGGTACTGAACTCTACATTTTTTATAAGCAACACCACCTACACGTGATCTGCAAAACATTTTTTAGTAGGAGAATATTTGCCATTTCTAACAACAATGAGGAAAATACCTTATATAGTAAGGGCTCATGTTCAGCATGTAAAGATGTCTTATATACATGTAACCCTCAAAAAAAGAATCGATATCCAATGTATGTTGTTATTAGTACTATAATTATCCTAAAATTTGTTGAATACTAAATGATTCCATAGAAAACCATGTTTCAAATACACATACAACTGCTAGGGACCTGCTGCAGTCAGCACATCCTATTAGGGTTCATTCGCATTTTAGAAGCATATATGGAAAATATGGGTGAAATTAATACCATCTAGTATAGTTAATGCATGATAAAAACAATTGTGCTTTACTTTTGATTGGATATTTAAAAACAATTGTTGCAGAGCACATTTAGTTTCAAAGCAATTGAAGGAAAGATGTTATTTAACTTGCACTTATTGAAATAAGTACTTAAGGAAATATTTGATCTTTTTAATAAATTGGGAAAAATTGGAGTGGGAGACAATAAAGCATAGCAACAAATGGCCATAAACTTATTGTGCAGGGTAAAATTATCGTTATCAGCAAAAATTTGAGATGGTTGGAACAATTTTTATTTTGGGGATAATGGATACTCCTTGGCGAGAATAGGTTACTGATGAATAAAAGAGAGGAAGCATTTAAGAAGAGAATATTATCAGTGTTCTTTAGTGAATACTTGACAAGAACAGAATGAGAAGCCGCAAAACGGATAAACCAATATGATTGGGAAAATATAACAAAGCATTGAATAAAGAGCAATGATTTCTTGCAACCGTTGCATAGTAATATGATGCAACAACCTTAAAAAACCATTTTATGGCCATTTGTTTGATCCAAATTTTGAAATATACACTCTTTTCATTCTAATGAACAATCACAAAAAAAGAAAAAATTGAAAACAAAACATAGAAAGTATTTTTTAAGCCCAATTAACATAGGCCGTTCATTTTGATGAGATGCTTCGATCTAAGCCCTAAAAAGATTTTTTCATTTCCAATTTTTTTGGATGGCTTTATTATCATTAAGTGAACAATGTTAAAAAAGAAAAAATGATTTTGAGTTTATAAAGGCTAAGAGCTTGAAATTCACAAAATGAATGGTCTAGATTCGTTTTTGGAAGGGGGCTCATTTTGACCATATCTAGAGTTCAAATTGAACTTTTTTTGGGCTGAGATTGATTATTGAGATGGAGAGAGTGTGTGCAGAATTTGAGATCATACAAATACCACAAACATGGTTTTCTAGAAGTGTCGTTGCATTATACTATGAAACAACCGTTGCATTGGATCATTGCTCTTGAATAAAGCTTTTAAAAATGTCTACGAATATTAAACAACTTTAGCAATGAAAAGTAACAGAAATATAACAAAAAACTACCAGGAAGCCTCATAAGAAAATAACCCATACCTTTTTAGCAAGCATGTAGTATAGGCTCTAGTCCAACGTATTGAACTTTTACAAAGAAACTATTCAACAACATCAAGTGTTTAAATTCCATTTTAAAGAAGGAAATTCACAAGACATTGCCCAAACCACAGATATTAGAACTGCAATACAAAGCTTACCCAAAGATAGTTACTTTTGTTTCTTCATCGTTACACAAATATTCAACCAAAAATTTCTAAACAATGGAAAGAGATGAATCACTGTACCATTACCCAAAATGCTATTAGAGTTGCAAACCAAAGCTCAACCAAAATTTAAGCTCTTTTATTATTAACCAAACAATCCTACTGAAGGAAATAAAAGAAATTTTTTTTTTTTGTTATCCAAAATTTTATTGACCTGAACATTTCTAGGAGAAGGAACTGGAGGAATTCTTTCTTCTTCATCAGCATACAAAAATTATGATTCACACGAGAAAGGAGATAGAGAAGGCACTCATACCTGGCACACTATTATAGTCATCATCAACAGATACAGCATCTGCCTCTGGCTTTCTCCTCTTCTCTGCAAGACATCATTAATTCAAAATGATGGAAAATAAATGTGGGTGACGGGGGCGAGAGAGAGAGCCCTACCATAGTAAGAGAATAATGGATGAAGAGCCATATAGGACTGCATATCAATGGTATCTTCAACATTTTTCCTCCTCTTCCTTTTCTTCACTGGTAGTCTTGGATTGGGAGCTGAGAAAGGCAAGAACCTTGCAGAGGACGAATCTTGTGCAAGCTGGCCAAACGTCAACGGTTTCCTTCTTTTGATTTCCAAAAGTAGCCGATCATATTTTGATGCCTGGGACTGAAGCTCCTTTATCCGCAATTCTAACCAATGGCACCGCCACATGATAGGGTTGCGGTACTTTTTCCATTCAGCAGTCAATTTCTTCTTTCTAGAGAAAATTTGGCATTTTTTAAAGTCCTTTCTATACAAATTAACCACATTAATACATATTCAGTTCTTTATGACAATCAATATGTTCAAGTAACCCGAATTCCTGACTGACTATGTACTTTGCTTTTATTTAAATAGAATTTAATTATTCATAAAAAAAATAAAAACGAAAAAGAAAAATAATCAACATATACGGTGAATGGGCAAAATGTAGAAAACACCAACCATTCATTTGTACTATACATAGTACGGGCACATAAACAAGTATGATGAGCGCCTGCATACCCACACCCATACATACATAGCTCTGCATACCATTATAATATTTTGGGTTTCAGACAGTTTGCTAGCACCTCCCTAACTGTCCATTGTCACCACACAGATGGTTGGTAATCGTCGTTCTTCTGCTCAGTGCATCAAAAAACGTGACACGCCTTGGGCAGCAGAAAGGCACAATCCCAACCATCATCATTGTTGATGTCTGATGGTCAATGAGATGCCCAAATGCTACGCATAGAGTAGCCCCTAAACAAAAACACACACATACACACACATGGGAGAGAGAGAGAGAGAGAGAGAGAGAGAGAGAGAGAAATGCCCACCATAAAAGAAAAACACAATTACAATTAATTTCCATCAATTTTGGCAGAAAAGTCGGGATACCACAGGCCACTGATGATTGTCCCACTTTAGCACGACTAAAAGATTTAAACAAGGCCCAAGACCTTTTTCAGAAGTATTTTTATTTTTTGGAAGGAAAAAAATAAGAATAGATAGACAATAAAAGAGAAATTCATAAGGGGAACAAAAGTTCCCTTGAGACACTAAAATGTTCGCTAGCCCATCCATCAAGGCATATCAAAAGACATTCACATGGATGCATAGAGTTTTGTAACTCAGGCATCAGTCACTTCTTTTTCATTTTCAGAGGAGGGGAAATAGTGGCATAACAACAAAATAACTTAGATTAGAGGAATAGTTTTCCTAGAAAAATGTAACTATTGGGGTTCCTTGTGGGACTTAGTATGCTACTTATGTATCGCATGAAGCTTCTTCTAACTGTGATGCCATGGGTTGATTTCCAAAGTTGATTTTCTAAGTAGTTTGACAAGATCCAGAATTACAGCTACTTTTGAGGTTATTTAAGAGCCTAGAAAGCCAATATCAATCTAAAGGTCCCATTCACTAAATAATCATGAAGTCATAATTTTTTCCCCTTGACTTTATTCTACTGTAATCTTCAAAAGTTTTTAATAATCACTGTTCACGAAAGAAGAGGTGACTGCCAAAGCCGCCAGGGGTCCTGACCGCCTAGGCGACTTGGGGGGAGGGGAGGGGGAGAGAGGGACCGGGAGAGCATATATATATATGGAAGACACTAGACAACGCCTATGGGCAAAAATGAACAGTGTTTTCGCCCACAAGCACATCACCGTCTGAAAAAATCAGACGGCGAGCGTTTTTCGACCGCCACAGACCTAGCATGTCCATGGCAGTACTGTCACAGACATATTAGGTCCGTGACAGTAAAAAAATCACGCGGAACCGCAACAGACATAGCAAGTCCGTGGCAGTGGCGAAACACTGTAGCATTTCACTTATAAGCGTTTAAGGTTTTTCCTATATATATATATATATATAATGTGTGTGTGAGTGTGTTGTATATGCGTGGACTCACATCAAATACTTGTACTTGAAGTTCATCTTCTTTTTTCTTATCTTATGTATAGAGAGAGAGCATATGGACCCGTGCATGTGAGAGAGATCTCTCATCAAACCTTGGTGGACATGTTCATCTTTTTCTTCTTCTTATATGTGGGGAGAGAGAATATGAGCTCCAGAGAGAGGGAAGCCTTACATTGAACACTTGGAGGTCATCTTCTTTTATTTCCTATTATATGTAGAGAGAAAGCAATATAGGTCCATGTGTGCGTTTGTGTGTGTGCTTAAGAGAGAAAGAGAGGCCTCACATCGAGCACGTTGAGGCCACCTGCTTTTTCTTCTTATAAGTAGAGAGAGAGCACATGGGCATGTGAATGAGAGAGAGAGAGAAGGGCCTTAATTATTTGTATAGGCCTGTTGAAATTTTTTGTACGCTTTGATATCATGTTGCAAGTTTTTGGATAAGGCATTGATACCACTGATAATTAAAAACACGCACTCACGTACTCATGGAGAGATAAACACAAAACTCATACTTTCTCCACACACACTCAAGTTGCTTCTATCTACAACCACATGCACTTCATTTCATACATGAAGCTCATATTATAGGCGTTTATAACAAAACTACCCACTACCTACGTGTTGGATAACTACTCATTACCTACGTGAAGAGAGAGAAAACTTGCCACTATCTTAACTACCCATACATCCACTTTTACATAGAGAGATAGAGATAACTTCCCACTATCTTAACTACCCATACATTCCACTTTTTTTTGCATCACCTTTAACACTCCCCCTTCATGCTTTTCCTTTTTTTTTTTTTTTTTTTTTTTTTTCATGTACATGATTTTCAATAAAATTACGAAAGTCTTCATTTTCATCCTTCAATGCCAAAACCAAGGCTTCAAGCTTTTCAATTTGCTTCTTCATTTCACAAATTTCTTCTTCCCTTGCAATCTTGATCTTCTCTTCTTCGTCAGCTTTAATTTAATTACTTCCTTCATTTTTGCTAATTGTGATATGACAAAATAGGTTGCACTGTGTTCCACTTCTTTTTTCGTATCCATATAGGATCCTGAAAATTCTTTTCCTCCAACTTCTACCTCACAAATAAAGATAGGGCTATGGTCCGGTCGTCCCTTGATAATTTTGTAAATTTGTGTTTTAACTTTTTGCTTTTGACAAAATTCATTTAACTTGCTTTTTGGAGTAGCAATTGCCGTATTTCTTGATGTCTTTCCTACAAAAAAAACCAATTGAAGCAATTAGTTGTCTTTTTAATTCCCTTTTTTGAAAACACTTTTCTCCCATTTTTTATGCCTTCTCATGGCATCATCATGCCTTTTCATGACATGACAAACTAGGACTTCAATGTCTCGTTTTTCTAAACACAATTTCTTTTTTATGCCTTCTCATTAGGCACCCTCATGCCTTATCACGGCATCATCATGCCTTTCCATGGCATGACAAACTAGGACTGTGATGTCCTGTTTTCATTTTTTCAAAAATCAATTTTCCTATGCCTACTCTAAGCATGGATTTCCCATCATGCCTTTCCCTGGCACGACATACCAGATTGCGTTGTCTTGTTTTTCTTCTTTCTCAAAAATCATTTTTTTTCATTTTTCCTATGCCTACATAGGTGGATTTCCCATGAGAACTACTCATGTCCCCCTTTCAGGATTTTTTAATAAAAAATCTCATTTTCTGAAAACGTTTTCAAAAATACAACATCAAGAGCTCTCCAATTTGTTTCCCCCTTTTTTTTTAAATCTACATCTTCTTTTTCCAAGAACATCACATTTAAGAAAAAAAAAAATTCCTCTATTGTTTTTCATTGCAAATCACCTAACATTTTAATCCAAATATTATTTTTTGTTTTTTTTTAATCACCTGTTTTTTTAAAAAAAATCAAGACCCAAACATTGTCTTCATTTTAATTTTTCAATACTCATAAAATTCAACTTTGAAAATTGGAATCAATAGTTGAAAACTATTTTGACTACTATGATGTGCCATATGGAATAAAGCAGGAAATTAAATAAAGAATTTTAAATTTTTTATCACATTTCCCTTGAATTTTGTTTCTGACCTCCTCTCCAAGTAATAAATCTCCACCAATGCCTATCTCTTAGGCAACTTGGCTCTCCAATGCCTATCTTTGGCAACCTGGCTCTTCACAACTTGTCCTTTGATACTTATCTTTTTCTTTTTTTTTTACACAACCTGGGCTCTGTGGGTTATGGGCCCACCACGCTTTCGTTTCACAACTTGGGCATTCTTCACAACCTGAGCTCTGATACCATGTTGAAATTTTATGTACGCTTTGATATTGTGTTGCAAGTTTTTGGATAAAGAACTGATACCACTAATAATTAAAAACATGCACTCGCGTACTCATAGAGAGATAATCACAAAAGTCATGCTTTTTCCACACACACTCAAATTGCTTCTATCTACAACCACAGGTACTTCATTTCAATACATGGAGCCCATATATGTAGACATTCACAACAAAACTACCTGCTACCTACATGTTGGATAACTATTCATTACCTACGTGAAGAAAGAGATAACTTCCTACTATCTTAACTACCCATACATTCCACTTTTACATAGAGAGATAGAAATAACTTCCCACTATCTTAACTACCCATACATTCCACTTTTTTTGCTATCCAACACATAGATAATGGGCAGTTATCCAACACATAGGCAGTAGGTAGTAGTTTTGTTGTAAACGTCGATATATATAGGCTCCATGTATTGAAATGATGCGCTTGTGGTTGTAGATAGAAGCAACTTGAGTGTGTACGGAAAAACTTGAGTAAAGCATGAGTTTTGTGTTTATCTCTCCATAAGTACGTGAGTACATGTTTTTAGTTATCAGTGCTTTATCCAAAAACTTGCAACATGATATCAAAGCGTAAATAAAATTTCAACATAGTATCAGAGCTCAGGTTGTGAAGGAGCTCAAGTTGTGAAACGGAAAGGTGGTCAGCCCATAACCCACAGAGCCAGGTTGTAGAAAAAAAAAAAAAAAGATAAGTATCAAAGCACAAGTTGTGGAGAGCCAGGTTGCCAAAGATAGGCATTAGAGAGCCAAGTTGCCTAAGAGATAGGCATTGGTGAAAATTTATTACTTGGAGAGGAGGTCAGAAACAAAATTCAAGGGAAAGGTGATAAAAAATTTAGATCTCTTTATTCAATTTCCTGCTTCATTTCATATGGCACATCATAGTAGTCAAAAGATTTTTCAACTATTGATCCCAATTTTCAAAGTTGAATTGTGTGAGTATTGGAAAACTAAAATGAAAACAATGTTTGGGT